TGGGAGGGGAGGATGGAGAAACAGGCCTGTAGATGTAACTTATATTGAAAGTTATTGAGGGGAGACAGGAAAAACCCTATCTGCCCCAGGGGAACAGCAGGAAAGAGCACAGGGGGAGGGGGATGTCTGTGGGGGGCTGTCCTTTAAAAGGGCCCTTTGCACCTGCATGCAGACTATGCAATCATGGAACGCTGGGCTGACCAGGGCGCTGCCTGAGTGCATTCTGCCGGGTGACAGGGGCAGGCCAGCACAATGCTTGAATCCTTACAGTGGTACACACTGCACCTTTAATCTCAGCAAAGGCAGCAGGAGGGCGCATCTGTGTGCCAGCCTGGTTTGCATAGCCAGTTCTAGGCCAGACAAGACAAAAACAAAATGAACAGAAATTCAAGAATGCTCGCATTCAAGTCAACCAAGCTGGCAACTAACATTCAGCGAAAGGCCTGGGGTGGAAATGTAAGAGCATCCACCCAGAAGAAGTGAGGCTTGTTTTTAGAGCCCTCTCCCCCTTAAAAAGCACAGCCATTGCAGCCCCACACTGTAACCAACCCTGGGGAGACAGAGGCAGGGACAGCAGAGCAGCCTCTGATTTCCTGGCTCCTGCACGCATCTGTTGTCCCGTCTGCAGCTCTGTCTCTGTTTTTACTAAGGCAGGTGTCTTCCCATCCCAGGAAGCTTTGCATGGGCATTTCTGAGTTGTGTGTCTGACACAGTGCTGTGTCTCAAGGGTCCCATGCTGGTCCTTCCCAAGGGCTTTTTCCCTTGCTCTTGTAGCTCAGAGAAGGTTAGAAACAGTGAGAGGGCAGTGACTGGAAAACACATCTTATGAGCCTGATGGACTCCAGGTGAGCCCCAGGGAAACCCACCGAAGCCCATTTCTATTTCTAGGATTGCAGGATGCCAGGCCAGGCTCCGAGGTCAGTGTTTCCTGTCTGCAGCCCGGTGACAGAGAGAAAGTGATTGGTTGTGGGCGCAGGAGGTGCAACCAGACGGCATTGGTACATGCTCTGTGTCGTGTGGCTGAAACATGCGTGTGTTAGGCCTCAAACCCAGGACAAGTGGCTGAGGTGCCTATTTAACCTGGCTGCTATGTTCTCCCAGCGTCTTCCAGCAAACCCTGTCCCCTACCCTGAACTCCCCAGCCCAGTGGCTGAGTTGCCCTCCTCAGCTGCCCTTCCCTTACAATCTAGACAGTTTGGTTAGCTGGCCTTTTGTCTACCCATTACTCTCGGACTCTCCCCTCTCCTCACGTAGCTGGACTCTCCCAGATGTCCCTGCCTCTGGCTATGCGCCCCCTCACATCTACAGTGAACCTCCCCCACCCCAGCTAGGAGCAGCCATGCCCTCCTTTTCTTCTTTCTGCATTCAGCCTGTAGTTAGCGTTCCGTTGCTGCTCTGAAAATTACCTTGAGCTTCATGGCATAAGATGACACAAAAAATTCTCGTTCCGTAGTTCTGGAGGTCAGAACTGTGAAATGAGTCAAACGCTGGCAACTCTGGCACCGTCTTGGATGCTGCAGGGCAGAATCCATTCCGTGGCTGGCCCAACCTCCAGAGGCCTCGCACCTTCCTCTTCTGTCTTCAAGTCAAGTATGGGAGTCATCTCTTGTGGGCCAGTCTCCTCCTCCCTGACCCATCTGCCGTCCTATCTATCTGTCTGTCTATCTGTCTGTCTGTCTGTCTATCTATCTATCTATCTCTTTTCTCTAGTACCAACCCTTCAGCGGCCCACCAGGGTAATGCAGAACACTCGTCCTCATTTCAACATCCTTGAACTTAATCGCCTTAATCCCGTCCACTGTGTGTAAACTAAGTCACAGGTTCTAGGACTGGACGCGGGCACGGTTAAGAGGGTTTCATTTCTGTCTGCATGAAACAACAGTGTTTTGTAACCTAGCCTGGGCACAGTATTTCTAAGGTAGTTCCTGTGGCCCCTGGAGCAACTAAAAAGTTTTGGGAGTAAGGACAGTCCAGGGGTGGATGTACTGCTCACACGTGGAGAAATTTACAAGAGCACATAAGAACAAAAGGTCTTTAAAGTACAGATAAGAACTGATGCCCAGAGAGGTGTCTAGACTTGTTCCTGGGTTTAGGAGCTGCAGTTGTCTGTGGAATTAAAATCTCCACTTCACATCTACAAACACAGAAGTGCCACACCAGACCTGTAGGGACTATGGTGACTATGTTCCTCTCCAGTGAACATACAGGCAGACCGATGTGTAGGGAACACAGTGTGTTATGGGCTAGTCAGGCCGCCTATGGGGAGCAAAGCCTGGATGACGAGAAGGGAATTCTGTGGGTACAGGACGAAAGGTTCAGGCATTGTGCTGGCCTGCCCTGTTACCTGGCAGGATGCACTCTGGCCAGCCCGGAGTTCTGTGAGAACCAAGCAGGTGCAAAGGACCCCTTTAAAGGACTGACCCCTGCCTGCTTACGATCTTTTTACTCTTGTCTTCCTCTCCATCTCATCCCCCCCCCCCCCACCCCACCCCGTCCACCAATAAACTCCATGTGGGATCGTTGAGCCATGGTTTGTGTGTCATTACTGGATAAACCCAGACATTTAACAACACAGTTCTCCAATGGAACTGCAGTGTTTGTGGTTGCAGGGGCTTGGGGATGGGGGGTGAGGGAGATTAGTTGGAGAACCGGGCGTCGAAGGGCCACACGGGGAATGGTGTAGAGGGGTAGGGAGCCAGGGAAGGACTGGGAGCAGGCAATGAAAGAGACGGGCATGTTCGCACCTCACCCTTGTGACCGCAGCCTCTTGGAGTCAACTTCCGGGTCTGATTTGTCTCTAGACACATCCGTAGGACAAGTTGGAACCATCAGTGGGTAATGGGTGGGCACCCCACACAAGTCTCAATGTCCTTGAAGCCAGCTCACCTGAGCCTGCATGGACAGCTCCTCACATCACAAGCCTTGTTTGGATGAAGTTGGGTTCCTGTGCACGGCATGGACAGGTCACTGCCTCGGGCTCCTGTTTACCAGGCGTGAACCACTGAAAGCGCCGACAAATATTTGTTATGAACATGCCCCGGTAGAAATTGAGGGGGGGCAAACAGAAGACAGAGGGGAGCAGCGACAGAGGAAAAGCCAAGTGAGTTTCACAAGTTATGCAGATCGGTCTCTAGATAGAGTCCCTTGACATGTGCTGTCAATGGAGTGTTACCATGCTCTTCTGCAAACCCCTCCCAGAAGGAAGCTGCTGTGCACATCCTTTAAAACAAACACACATCCAGATAATTCTGGAGACTGGAGCAACCCCAGGGGAGGGGAGTGGTGTCCCTTGCTTACCAGCTGAGAACACTGATCTTGGTTTTCTCTCCCGGGACTGCTGTTTCCTCAGCACGATGGCCAGCTACCGGCCTTCCCTCTCCTGGGCTTTGTGTACATGTTGGGAGTGCATACCCTGCATTTCTGGCATGTAGGCTTTGTCGTCTGAATGGGAGTGCTCGCTGGGCCAAGGGATTGCTATTTGTCTGTGTGCAGTTACTCTTCTCTGGAAGTAGGAGTGGCAGGCAACTTGATGAAGTGGGCTTACGGCTGTTACGCATACGACATCACCTAAAATAATGTCTGGCTCATCATGGGACGTGAGTTTGTGTCCTGGGGCTGTGTAAGGGGGAGGGGTGGTGTGGTTGGCAGTTTTGAACATTCCCAAAGGTTTGTGGGTGTTTGGATTTGCCGTCTTCCTGGTTGTTACTTGGGTCTCTGCCTTAAGTCGGGGAGCTTCTATCTGACAGACGGAATGCTAAGTTTCATACCACGAGATGTGTTCCTCAGGTTCACAAGAAAGGGTTGGAGAAGGAGCTGGAGGGGGGGTGCGTGCTCTGGGGCCGCTGGGGGCACCCAGTAGATTTAGGTTTTGTGTTGTTGCTTCCCTGTTCCCCATGCCGGCGCGTCTTTCTGCGCAGCTGAGATTTTCTGTGTATCTGAGCTCGGGGATACGGTTTCAGTGGGCGTGCCTGGCTTCAGGATAAGCAGCATGAGCATGCCTGGAGCATATGGAAGTGATGGGGTTGTGGCCTGGAATCCTGGGCTCCATCAGAAGTGTTCTCCATGCTGCGTCTCAGCGTAACAATTGCCCATTAAACCCCAGGCTGCGAGCATCTGGTTCTCCCCAACATCCTCCTTGTTAAGTGGAAACCTTAGCTGTGTGGTTCAAATAGTTTCCCATCATTTAGCACTTCAGAACTAACATTTTGAAGGAGCGCCCAATTAATGCCGAATGGCATATTTGCAGATTATTAAAGAGATGTTTGAACAGAGTCTGTAGGCCTGGACTGACTGATCTGGGGCAGCCTTTCTTGGGAGGATCAGCTTTGGGGTTGGGAAGAGGCAGGGTCAATGGGAGGATCTGGTGTTCCCTCTGTGGCTGCTGTAATTGGACTGGGAAGTCTGGTGGAGTTGTTACCCTACTATTAAGGCTGCAGATGGCTAATGGCCACATCACCAAGAGTTGAGGGTTCCAAGTTTTAAAGTCTTTTTTTTTTTCCTTTTATGACCCACCCCGTGTATTCCCAGCATAGGTATGGAGGCAGTGAAGAATTTTCTCATTAAAAGGAATGGCTCATTCCCACATTCATTTCCAGTCTTGGAATGAGAACCGGTTTCCGTAGACCCGAGGAATTGCCTATCTGTCTTGCCGTACTTTCAGACGAGGCTGCCTAGCAGGCGAGTTTTATAGCTACGCAGAGGATCCAACTGGAAGGGCTCCATCTGGCAGCCCTGGTCTCTGTCCTAATTTTACTGCTAATGAATTATTTAACCCCTAAACATAGACCTGCCCGTGCCTGTTGTCTTAGGGGAAAGAGTGCCCAAGATCCCCCGTGGGTTGGGATCTCTTGGACTGGAGGGTGTCTGGGGTCATAGAACAGTACTAGGATTGGAGCCAGGAGACAGGACTGCATGACCCTTGGGCCCTTGCCATGCTTTGTTCATTGGATGCTGGGAACGTAAACTGCTTCACTCTGCATTTTGTCCTCATTTTCCCACAGGGAGTGGGGCCATCCAGCAGAAACAGCGGGCTGCACAACGTCACCTTCAGATACGACAGTAAGTAACCAACCTGACCACAGGGAAGGAGGCAGGCAATTTCTTTCAGAAATCCAAAGTGCACACACTTGTACTTCATCAAGGACACTGTGGGTCCAGGGGTTGAGGGTCTTCTGAGCCTGTTTGTCAGCAGTTGCAGCCTCTTAGTCTAATGTGGTTTTCAGAAAGGTCAAGTGTCTAATGTGGCTTTCAGAAAGTTGTGTGTGTGCGCGAAGACCCGCCCTTGGGACACAGCCTTGTCTTTAAGAGCAAACACAGATGTCGGGAGGTCCCATCAGGGGATGAAGGGGTGAATTCACTCAAGTGTAGGCTTCAAGGCAAGGATGGAGACTGGCCAACTGGGCAGCCCATCCGATCTGAAGGGGCCACTGGCTTCCTCATTCCAGCTCATTGTGGTCTTGAGGGATTCCCACTGGATGTAGCCAGATGCGGTTTCTAAGAATAGCGAAGTTCTGAAAATAAACACCCTACCCCCGTAAGATGTTTTTCACTATGGGCCTTTATTTAAGACTCTTCCCACCCCCATAACACATATACACAAATACTGAGTGGACCAGGCAGAGCTATGTCACAGGGTAGTCAGGTGGTCTCTAGTTGGCCGTCTCTGACTTAAGTCTAATGAGGTACCAAGTACAGTTTCCCATTTGTCTGTGTGACAAGTGACAAAATATCTCCACACAGTTTATAATCGTCTCTTTCCTTAGCATCAGTTTGAGGCTTAACTGGGGCAGCCCAGGCCTGCTGTAGATGTTACTGTGGGAAGTCTACCCAGCTGTGTTTGAACACAAGCAGCAACACTTTTTGTTGATCTTTCCTGCCTGAATCCAAGGGCAAGGTGACTTTTCTTCTGATTAAAGATTTATAACCCATTGTAGGCTGAGGATGTTATTTGGAACTGTGAGCATTTTCACCTCGTTTACACTAATTTATATATAAACATGATAAGAGGTGCTGCAACTCTCGTTAGTTGGCTCTTGATTTCTCATTCATGCCATTTGGAGGCCTCTGGAATAATCCATGGGATAGTCATCTGTACTCTGACCAAGCTAGGTCTTGGAGATCATGGATACAGTGTGACAGTTTTAAGACAGGCAGGTGTGTTTCAAATTCACATCAGCAGATGCTGGCTTGAGTATTTCAAGTTACCCAGAAAGACTTGTACATGACAAGCAGGCGCTTCATTCATGTCAGTGTGCACGTTTCGAGTAAACGCCATGATGGTCATGAAAGATTTGCAAGCCTGTGATACTTGATTCGGCTAAGTAAAGACATGTGCAGAGAATTGTCCTTTGAGCTAGAGAGTTGATTTCTAATCAGTGCTCTTGGTCCTGGCAGATCCTGTATTAGAGTCAAGAGCTCGTTTGCGAACAGACATTTATCTGTGATTTAATATGGATTTTTCAAAATTATTTTAAGTTTGCATTTTGGCTGCATGTCTGTCTGTGTGAGGGTGTCTGATTCCCAGGAACAGAGTTACAGACAGTTGTGGGCTGCCATGTGGGTGCTGGGAATCGAACCCCTGGGTCCTCTGGAAGACCAGTCAGTGCTCTTAATATGGATTTTCATGGCAAAAAATTCTATGCCCGCAGAACGTCTTATGTTGCCTTTTTGGTTTTGCTTTTTTGTGCTTTTGAGACAGGGTCTCATGTACCCAGGCTGACCTTGAATTCATGATCTTCCTTCCTTAGCCTCCAGAGCGCTTGTTTCATGAGCATTTGCTATAATCCCCCGATTTGTTGGATTAAAATTTTGCCCATGTGTCTGCCTCTTACTCATTACTTTCTTCTTAATTCTTCATCATTTAATTAGAATTTTATTCATAGTTCACATTGAATATATTTGAACTCAGTTAATTTGGGGGGGGGGCAAAAAGTCCTTTTGTAATTGTATTCCAAAACTTCAGACCAGCTGCCTTAGTTAGGGTTTCCATTGCTGTGAAGAGACACCACGAACAGGACAACTCTTATAAAAGGAAAACATTTAACTTCAGTAGCTTATGTAGTTCAGAGGTTTAGTCCATTATCACCATGGCAGGTGCTGGAGAAGGAGCAGAGTTTTATATCTTGATCCAAAGGCAGCAGGAGACTGCTACACTGGGTGTAGCCCGAGAGTTTGAGATCTCAAAGCTGGCACCCAAAGCGACACTCCCTCCAACAAGGCCACACCCGTAGTACCACTCCCTATGGTCCAAGCATTCAAACAGAGTCTGTGGTGGCCATACCTATCCAAACCACCACACCAGCTAATAACTGGGATACAAGCCATGCTGTATTATTGTGTGGTTGCTATCAAATAAGATACTTATCTCGTCTATGATGAACCTATCACTCAGAACTAGTCACCAGTCACCTGAGCAACAGGTTCATTGTAGAAGAGGGGATAAAATTCAGCAGACTTAGAAATTGCCCGTAGTCTCCCACCCCAGGGCAGTGCCTCACTGGGGTGCTGGGCAGACGAGGTGAAGCCCTTGGCAGTTGGTACACAAGAGGGGAGTCTGAGTTGAATCATGAGGGTTCTGGGGAAGGCAGAAACAGGTCTCTCAGCAAGGGTGCCTGCCATAGAACGTGGTGACCCAGCGTTTGTTCATTCAGCATGGTCCTGTGCTGATCCAGCATGGCTCTGGCTCTGAGCTGAGGGTAACTTCTGAAGGTGTTCTCTGCAACCCCAGCTGATGCAGCTTCTCACTCCACCACACAAAAGAAGGTTTTTTCCTCCCTGCTATTACTTTGGGGATTTGGAGATTAAACAGGGTTGTTGGTATCTCTCAGAAAAGTGTTTTGTCTTTGAGAATGTAAGCTGGCACCCATAGCCCCAACACGCTACTGTGTATTATAGAGTCTGAGTCATTTAACAGTTTGTGTGTGAAATGACTCCCCTGGGGTTCACACCCCCGTGGCAGTTCCTTTCCCTGATGACCTTGCTCTCTTGGTCTCCTAAACAAACACACTCCAAAGTGTTTAGCAGGGTTTTGTTAATGCTGGAAACTAACTGGTGGGATTGGTGTGAGCACTTAGTGATTTCAGTAAAATGTCATAGGAGTAAGGAAGAAAACAAAAACAAAACACAAATCTAAACTGTATCCAACAGTCCTAGCAATGTCCAGGAGTTCTTATTCCAGAGAGCGGGTGGGCTTTTGTTGCTGCAGCTGCCACGTCCCTGGGTAACATATTTCCCAAGCCATAATCAACTTCGGTGTCTTAGGTTCGGAGGAAATTCTTAATAAGAGTGGATTTGGTGCCTCAAGGCACTGCTAAGATGAAACTGAACAGAAAGGTTAAAACGGTCCTCCTTTCCCCAATCTAGACTGTACGACCTACTTGAATCCAGTTGGGAAGCACATGATCGCTGATGCCCAGAACATCACCATCAGCCAGTATGCTTGCCATGACCAAGTGGCAGTCACCATTCTTTGGTCCCCGGGGGCCCTTGGTAAGTGGAAACAGTCATTCTCTATGGGGAATGCATGGTGCCACAGTGAGTGGCCATGTGTGGCCTCCAGGCAAGTGGGTGTTGATGAGAATGCAGTGGACACACACACACACACACACACACACACACACACACACACACACACACACACACACCATACCTCTCCCTCTCCCTCTCCACCACACACACACAGCTTGTAGCAGTGCCCCATGGCTTGTGTTTTGTTTCGTGAGTTTGAAAGATAAGCGTGATTGGCTTTTTTTTTCTCCCCACTTTGTAGCCTAGGCTGAGTGCTTCAGCCTTCTTGATCAGAGGGGGGAGATGCTGCTGGGAGCGCCTGTAGCATGTCCAGGGCATATTGGCTTTGGTTTCCACTATAAGGGATCTCTGTTCTCTGTGGTCACAATGACATGTGGACCCACCTTCAACACATTTTGTAATTTTTTTTAAAAACCTCTCCTCCTCCCCCGTGGAATTCTTTGTTTTTTAAAAAAGCATGAAATTGGTGAATTTTAAAGTTGGAGACCAAGTTTGTTTGTTTTTTTTTAAAGTCAGGGTTTCTCTGTGTAATAGTTCTGCCTGCCCTGGAACTCACTCTGTAGATCTGTAGACCAGGCTGGCCTGGAACTCAGAGATCCACCTCCGTCTGCCTCCCGAGTGATGGGATTAATGGCTTGCACCACCACTGCTGAGCCTGAATGTTGTTTCTCTTTTGGTCTCAAAAGGCAGATTCCGATGAAATCTAAATAGTAGGCCCTACAGAGATGCTGTATCGGGCAGTCACGTCTGAATCTCTTGTCTATGAGTCCAGTGTCACCCCACCGGAAGCTTTGTGATTGAAAATACGCCATGCACCGTAAAACTCCCAGCTTCTACAATATGAGGCTCTAATTGTGGCTTCTTTGCCGGAGTCACCATGAAATATGTGCTCCTCATTAAATAATTACAGAATTGGAGGACCTACTCAAAAGAGAAAAGATTTCTGTGACCTTTGCCATCAATAATTTCCCCACCTGGTTAATTGCATCCTGTGTAATTACTTTTGCCCCGGGAGGGGAAGGGTTGAAAATGTCTGCTTGTCTGGTGTTCAGAAAGCACGTGAAATCGATATCTTGGCAGCCGAGGCCAGCTTTGGGGATCTCCAGCTGCGCTTGGGACACTGCAGTCTCCAGGGCACACAGAGCCCCCGTGCTGGCTCCTGTGGCCATCAGCGCTTAATCCCTTTGAAAGCCCTTTGCAGTGGGAGGGCGCTCAGGTGGAGGCCGGGCTTTCAGCAGCGCTGTGGGCATCTGGGGCCTCTGAGGGCTACGTGCAGAGCTCACACTGGGCATCTGCATTTCAGGGTTGATTAGAGTAAGGCTGCCAGTTCCCTAAAATATTTAATCTCAAGCCCACGAACCCTCTTGGGAGCAGACATACACTTTGTTGGGAATTTGTAAGTTCCCAGTGAAACACATCAAGAAAGTATATAGCTAAAACTCGGAGATTAAAAAACAAAGTCTGGGGGCATTTCACTGGGATTATTGTCAGCTCAGTCAGTGTGCCTCAAATTATGCTTTCCATGGAGACTTGGTGGTCACTTAGGACTTGATCCTAAATGTTGAACCCAAGTGTACAAAAGCAATAGATCCTTGTCCCAGTGGCTGAGTGGGCTAAAGATGTATTAGGTACCATGGTGCCAATCACTCAAAGCTGTCCCAGAGGAATGAAGGGATGTTGCGGATTCACTGACAGAGTAGGACGTCCCTGAGCTGTGGTGCGTGGCTGGAGAGGATGCGACCTTGGAGGAGGGAAAGTGTGTCCAGAGTAATTAGGTCTGCATTTCATGAAAGCCCCTGCTTTGCTTAGGCATTGAATTCCTAAAAGGATTTCGAGTAATACTGGAGGAGTTGAAGTCGGAAGGAAGACAGTGCCAACAGCTGATTCTCAAGGACCCGAAACAGCTCAACAGCAGCTTCAAAGGAACGGTAAGTCCCACTCAGGGAATGTGCTCCTGAAGACACCATTGTTCCGGGGGTCTGAATGGCCCATTCAAAGTCTGAAACTGGAGAAGGGGTGGGGTGGGGGGCTGTGGGGTCCACAGCTCAGCCAAGGTGGGTGAGAATGGGAAGGCAGCAGCTGAGCCTGCCACACACCCAGGAAAGCTCTTCAGCAGGCCTCCTCAGCTGTGGTAAACACACCTCTCTGGTTACATTGAAGCAGCCACAGCTCTCCCAGGTGTCTGTGGTCTGAAGAGTGCTGTGGGCTCACCCTTCTTCGATCCCTCCAGCTCCAACACTCAGAACTAAGGTGCCATGGCTTTCTTGTCTTAAGAACACACAGCACTGTCCATCTTTAGCATCAGGGCTCCAAACCCAAGCGGAGTCTGTCAAGTTGACCTGACTTTCCTGGGACCTGCTCGGCCCTGCATTTGTGTCTAAGTGACAGTGTGGAGTGCTGGTCTTTTGTAGGTGGGGGTGGACAATTCCTCACACTACAAGTGTCTTTGTTCCCTTTTAGGGAATGGAATCTCAGCCTTTTCTGAATATGAAATTTGAAACGGATTACTTTGTAAAGATTGTCCCTTTCCCTTCCATTAAAAATGAAAGCAATTACCATCCTTTCTTCTTCAGAACCCGGGGTGAGTATGGTCTTTCTTGCCTGGCTCCCAAAGGAGTCATTTCTACTTCCATTGATCTCTCCACAGATGTGTTTGCAAGCATACCAGATACTGATAAGCAGGGTGAGAAGCAAATTCACTTTAAAAAAAAAAAAAAAAAAAAAAGACATGGTTTCTCTACACTTCAAGTTGCCCTGAAATTCAACAGGTAGCTCGAGTTAGACTAAACCTCATGTCAGTCTTCCTGTCTGCCTCTGCCTCATTGAATGCTAGGATTACAGGCATGAGCCACTATACCAGCTCAGAAAAGAATTTTCAAGAATAAAGGCTAGTCGGGCGGCAGTGCCTCACGCCTTTAATCCCAGCACTTGGGAGTCAGCTGCATCTCTGTGAGTTCGAGACCAGCCTGGTCTACAAGAGTTAGTTCCGGGACAGCCTCCAAACCTCCAAAAAGAATAAATGCTAAGGGCTGGGGAGTTGGCTCAGTGCTTAAGAGCACAGGCTGTTCTTCAGAGGATCTGGGTTTGGTTCCCAGCACCCCTTTGGCAGCTCACAACCGTCTGCAATTCTAGTTCCAGGAAATCCAGTGCCCTCTTCTGACTTCTGTGTATACGGGCACACAAATGGTTCACAGACATGCCTGCAGGCAAGACACCCATATACATGTGATAATAAAGAGGAAGTAAGTAAGGCTAGCAGGCTTCGGCTGTAGCCCAGGGGTAGAGTTCTATGCTTGGCATGAGCTGGGTTAGAAGTTGTGCTAAACATGGCGGCGCATGCCTGTAATCTCAGCACTCAGGAGAGAAGCAGCAAGATGACTGCAAATTTGATCTGTGTAGACAGGGCAGCACAGCAGGAGCCTACCCTAATCATACAGACAAATACACCAATAAACCTCGGGGTGGTGGCTCACGCCTTTCATCCCAGCACGCGGGAGGCAGAGGCAGGCGGGTCTCAGTGAGTTTGAGGCCAGCCTGGTCTACACGAGTTCCAGGACAGCTATGGCTGTTACATAGAAAAAACCTGTCTAAGAAGGGAAGAAAAAAAGAAAGAAAAAAAAAAGCCAAGAAAAATGAAGAAAGGAAGGAAGAAAAACACACCAAGAAAATTTAGGCCCAGCCCAACTAGAGATGCTTCTGTCTGCTTCTTTGGGATCAGGCATGATGGTTTATTTACATATAGCTTGTTTATTTATGGAGACAAGGTCTTAGCTCTAGAGTCTTCATGCTAGAACCTAGCTATACAGTTGAGGCTGGCCTCAGACTTGATGGCCCTATTGCCCCCGCCTCCCCCGCCTCCCAATGGGATTGCAAGCATGTGTTGCCATGCCAGATAGCAGTTGATACTGTAAAACATTTATTAGTGTTAATTAGTTGTTGTCTTATTTGTTTGTTTGTTTGTTTTTTTGAGATAAGGTTTCTCTGTGTAGCCCTGGCTGTCTTGGAGCTCACTCTGTAAACCAGGCTGGCCTTGAATTCACAGGGATCCATTTGTCTCTGCCTCCTGTGGTATGGGGGTCAGAGGATAACTTTTGCGTCTACTGTGTGGGTCCTGGGGACCGAGCCCCAGGTGGGCCAGCAGGCTTGGTGGCAACGTGCTTTTACTTGCCAAGCCACCTCACCAGCCCAGCATTTCTCTTTTGACGACACTGTGATCACCATTAATGCATCTATGTATAAAAACAATGTGATCGTGATCTTTTGTGATTTGGTTGCTTGCATAAGATCCTCTGATCTCTGGCATCCCTCCCTCACCTCCCCAAATAAGATGGTTGGGAGGCGATTTAAAACCAAACAAAAATACAGCCTAGAAATAAAAAGTATAAGTGGTGAATTCAAGGGTAAAAAGATAAAATGTTGTCACATCACGGGTGGTCAGGATGGGATGAGAAAAAAAAAGCCCTATTTGAGGCAGGCAAGGTGGCACAGGGATTTATTGCAACAAGCCTGACCACTTACATTCATTCACAGGACCCACACCAGGAGAGAGAACCAGCTCCCAGAGTTTCCCCCTGATGTTCTGACTTCCACATGTGGTCTGTGGCGTGCATATGCCCCACACACAAAACTAACAAATGCGATTTGAAAAGTGAACACCCGAGACCACTTTTCTAGAACATTTTACTAAATTAACATTAAAGTTTCTTCGGTCTTGCCAGGCGTTGGTGGCACACGCCTTTAATCCCAGCACTCGGGAGGCAGAGGCAGGTGGATCTCTGTGAGTTCGAGGCCAGCCTGGACTACCAAGTGAGTTCCAGGATAGCCTCCAAAGCCACAGAGAAACCCTGTCTCGAAAAACCAAAAACAAAAAGTTTATTCGGTCTTTAAATGCTTTCTAAATATTATTCAGTCCACCTCTGTAACAATCTCAACGCACACACACCCGCCATAACTAAGACGTGTGCTCACACAGAGTGGGCAAAGGGCTTTGCTGGGAGCTGAGAGTTGAGCAGTAGAGGCACAGTTCCGAGGCCACACTGACCGCCAGCTACCGGCCATGCTGGCTTTCCAGTCACCTTTCCCATTTATTCTGGAGCAGCTTCTCTTTCTTCTCCCTGAGCGGCTGCTTTTAAATTTGGTGGCCAGTCACCATGAGCCCTTCAGTGGCTTCCTCCTGCCTCCTGATCATACTTTTCATCTGGGCTTCAAGGTCTTGGGTGGCCAGCTGTCTGTCCAGGTTGGCATCCCCTTCCTTTCCTTGTGACTGGTCTCTTTTTATTTCTCATCTGTGAGATGAGGTCTCAGCCCCAGCCCGTGTCCATGTTTCCTTTTGTCAAATTGGGTTTTGTTTTCAAGACAGGGTTTCTATGTTTTACAGCCTGGCTTTTTTTTTTCCCCCCTCTTTGTGTAACTCTGGCTGTTCTGGAGCTCACTCTGTAGACCGGGCTGGTCTTGAACTCATAGAGATACACCTGCCTCTGCCTCCTGAGTGCTGGGGGATTAAAGGCGTGCTCTACCACAACCCTGAAGTTGTGGTTTTGTTTTTTATATGTGCATTGGTGTTTTGCCTGCATGTGTGTCTGTGTGAGGTTGTCCAGTTCCCTGTAACTGAGATTGCAGACAGTTGTGGGCTACCATGTGGTTGCTGGGAATTGAACCTTGGTCCTCTGGAAGAGCAGTCAGTGCTCTTTAACTGCTGAGCCGTCTCTCTAGCCCTTTTTTCAAATTCTTAATGAGGTTGTTTTCTGTGCTGCCAAGTTATTTTGCATGCCTTACTTTCCTAATTAAGATGATATTCGTTAGCGTATCATCTGTTCTTGCTTTCTACATAACAATCAGATATGTGCTTATGAAAATTGTGCCTAAAAATTAGAATGCAGGTGAAGGTTGAAGTAACATCTTAGTGGTTACCAGAACCACCCTAGAGCCTTCTTATATAGCTGGAGAGATGGATGGCTCAGAGGTTAAGAGCCCTGACTGCTCTTCCAGTGGTCCTGAGTTCAAGTCCCGGCAACCACATGGTGACTACAACCATCCATAATGAGATGGTGCCCTCTTCTGGCATCCAGGGATTCGTATAGGCAGAACACCGTATACATAATAAGTAAATCTTTAGGGGAAAAAAGTAGTCATTGCCACATACTAAGTGACAGAAGTGTGAGTCTTCCCATTCCCTTTGGAGGGAGCCTTGAAGCTAAGTAATATTGGAGAAGCTTTAAAAACCTCAGTGACTCTACATAGCTCCCACAAAGGTGACACGAAATGCTCTGCATCATTTAGATTTTTGTCAAGATACAGCATAATTGTACTGAGAATTATTGTTGAGTCGATGTAATTTGTACCTTCCCCAGCATACCAGGCCCAGTGTATATTTTGTTTAGTTGTTATAGAAAGAAGACATTGAACTGTCCTGAAACTAAAACTAGCCATCTCTCTTCTTCTTTTAACCTAATAGCCTGTGACCTGTTGTTGCAACCTGACAACATAGCCTGTAAGCCCTGTAAGTACATTCTGTCTGTTGTCTCAAAGCGTTAACCCACGATGGTGCTGGGACAGCCCTTGGGTGCTTACTGGGTCCTTCTCCATCTTAGTCTGGAAGCCTCGGAATCTGAATGTCACGCAGCGCGGTTCAGATGTGCAAGTGTCCTTCGACCACGCGCCGCATAGCTTCGGCTTCCGTGCCTTCTACCTCCACTATAAGCTCAAGCACGAAGGCCCCTTCAGGCGGAGGACTTGCAAACAGGTGAGTGACCGTGTGAGGAACACACTCGCTTCAAAGTGATATTGGGTGGCTGGGTTAAAAGCTCCCGTGGTCAGTGGGTGTTTAAGAACGCTTGCTGTTGGGCCTGTCTCTAGCTGAATTACCATTGCCGTTGGCACTTTGGCTCTTGGGTGACACGGAACCAAGGGATCAAAGCACAGACATCTCTAGTTTGCATTGTTTTAAGCATCTTCCAGGTGCTGTGTGGCAATCCCCGGGCTTTCTGCTCTTCAAATCCGGACTGCTCATCAAACAGCCACTTCCATCCCTCCTTTATTAGAGGGAAGACCTGGGGCTGGGGAGGGCCTTTGACTTGCTGGAGGCCGCATAGCTAGGAAGGAGAAAACACAGGTCTCTAGCCTAGTCAGTAGCAGATCAGCGGCCCTTGGTTTTTTGTTTTTAAACTAAGTGTGCTCAAAACCAGTGGCAAGTCTCCTTCAGCTGCAGGAAGAAGAGGCCTGAGGCCTTTTCTAAGACATTTGAATTGCTGTTTGCTTCTTTGTAGGACCAGAATACAGAGACGAGCAGCTGCCTCCTCCAAAATGTTTCTCCAGGGGGTTATGTCATTGAGGTATGTACAGCCACAGAATGCCCTGTTGTTACATTGTGTCATTGAGGTATGACAGCCACAAAATGCCCTCTGTCTGTCGTTACTTCCACAGGAAGCAGCTCCCATAGAGTTTTGAGTCTTTTCTTGTTCATTTACTTTAAGACCAAGTCCCATGTAGCACAGGATAGTCCCCATAGAGCCAAGGCTGACTTTGAAAACTAACTTTTCCTGTCTCTTTCTCCTGGGATTACAGACGCCCACACCGTGCTTCTGGCTTTTATGCAGGCCCTGGGGATTTGAACTCAGGTTTTCTAGCTTGCACAGCAAATACTTTTATCCACGGAGTCATCTCTTCTGACTTAACTACCCCCATTATTCTCCCTTTGTGCTCCCACCTCATGGTGACGGAAAGATTAAGGCAGTCACCATGTCACCGGTGTCTTACTTCCCTCCTAGATACAATGTATAGACTGCTGTCACTTAAGCTGCAGTAACAGGGCTGGATACAGTGTATAGACCGCTGTCACTTAAGCTGCAGTAACACGGCTCTGTTCTCTGTTCCCCTCTGTTCTGCAGCTGGTGGATGACAGCAACACAACCCGGAAAGTTGTGCAGTACGCGGTGAGGCCAGGTAAGGTCTTCAGCTGGGGTCTGATGTCACATCTCGAGCAGGTTTCTAGAGTTTTCTGTGCTCTGCATGTATTTCATGCACAACACTGTCCCCTCTTCTCAAAGTGGGCGTGGCATCTGCCGCAGGAAGAAAAGGCGGGAAGGAGGGCTTTCCTTAGGCAAAGTTCCCACTCCTCCCGGCACATTCAGAACCATTGAATCCCTTTCCACACCCTTTAAAAAAAGAACTCGAACCCTCTTAGTCACCACAGCAGAGCTAGAGTAAGGTGCTTGGGGGACCCTGGAAGTCAGCTCATGCTTAAAACTCCTTTACCCGTCTGTGAACCCGTTTTGCTGCTCAGGTCTAAAGGCTTTCTTTCCTTTGCAATCTCCAGTGCACTCTCCGTGGGCGGGGCCCATCAGGGCTGTGGCCATCACCGTGCCTCTGGTGGTCATCTCGGCATTCGCAACGCTTTTCACTGTGATGTGCAGAAAGAAACAACTCGGTAGCTATCTCTCTCTCTCTGTCCGGCCCTCTCCTCCCCACCCTCTAGTGCCCGGCGGGCCAAGGGCGAGTGCCAGCAAAGGAGCCGGGAAGCCCTGGTTCCTTCAGGCCTGGCCGGGGGGGGGGGGTTCTCATACTTCCTTGGCAGTTCTTTGCCTACGAAGTTCCCAGAATCCATATATTTGGCTTTTAATCTCTAGGACCTGGCAATAGAGAGGCATACAGTCCAGTTCTCAAACTCGGGAAGTCTCTGTATGAGAATGGAGTCAAATGTAGGGCTTCATCATTGATAGTTATGTCACCTGAAAACTTGGCCTAGGTGGGGTTGCCCAGGTATAAATATCATGAAGATGTCCGCTTAAGATGTGTGTTCTTGCTGGGCGGTGGTGACACACGCCTTTAATCCCAGCACTTGGGAGGCAGAGGCAGGCAGATCGCTGTGAGTTCGAGGCTAGGCTGGACCGACAGCCTCCAAAACAATACAGAGAAACCCTGTCTCGTAAAAACGAAAACAAAACAAAAGAAAAAGACTTGTGTTCTTTACAATAGCATGGTGGTACTACTTTGTGTCCCAGCTACTTGGGAGGCTAAGGCGGGAGGAATTGGGGATTAGCCTCAGTAATACCATGAGACCTTTTGGAGAGAGGGGGGAGGGGTAATATTTTGTTTTGGTATGATTCACCTTTTGAAAAATTATACTTAAAAACCATTCTCCCTCCCTCCACGAATGCTTTATTTGGTAGCTTTGGTTTCCAGAGCCATCCCTGGCACCTCACTAATGTGAGTGGCCTCCACAGCATTTCTCGGCACATCCAAGGGCCGTTTCTGTCAATTTTTTTTCACTTCCTGCTGCTGCAGGAAGTGACTGTCCATTCATTCACAGTGCAACCTGAGGCTGGCGGAGTTGGGTGCCAGAGACTCCCTAGATGTAGACCTCAGCAGCTGTTCCTTTTGGTAAATGCACTTTGAGACTGGATCTCATGTAGCCCAGGCTGGCCTCCAGCTTGCCTACGTGTAGCTGAGGATGCTCCTGAACTTTTGACTTTTTTATTTTGGCCTCCACCTTCCAGGTGCTGGGATTTCTGTTGGGGTCCACTGTGCCCTAGCTTAGCTGCTCATTCCTGAGGATACTGAGACCCCAAGGTCCCATGGAAAAAGACAAAAGCTTTGTTTAGAGGTGTCAACCTTATCTTCTCTCCCAATTTAGAAAATATATATTCACATTTAGATGAAGAGAGTCCCGAGTCCACCGCACATGCTGCGGGTCTCCCCAGGGACGGGCTCCAGCCACGGCCCACGGTCTTCCTCTGCTACTCCACTAAAGACGGCCAGAATCACACGAACGTGGTCCAGAGCTTTGCCTACTTCCTCCAGGATTTCTGTGGCTGTGAGGTGCGCAATCCAGTTTCTCCTTCTACCCTGGGCAGGATATAAGCCCCACATCTCTTTTCAATGCCTTCTCTCCCGTACTTTCTGGAAAACCTATTTTTGCCCAGTCCCTTGATTTCCAAACCAGAGTTAGTCTGGGTTTGTCCTATCTGTCACCAGCAGTAAATGTTTCAGATAACACATTCTTGCTTGAAGCCCTTGAGCGGCATCCACATGGCAGGACGTTTTGGGAGTTACGCGTGACCAGAATGTGAGATTGTCACCTGACACCATGGGTGAGCACCTGTAGGGTCAAAGCCTCAGCGGGGGCATCGGGAGAGGAGGAGTCCTGCTGAGATTGGGAGCGGAGGGGTTGGTCTGAGGAGAAACCAGTGCAAGGGCAGTGGCTAGAGTAAAAAGGAGAGGGTTCCAGAATGTACCAAGCATTTGGGTGTCCCTGCTGGTTTTTAGTTCTCCTCTTCCTCCTCCTGCTCCTCCTCTCTCCTCCCTTTCCTCCTGTGCCTTCCATCCACCCTGCTCCTCTTTTGGTTTTTCATGCTGGTTTCTTAGTTCTCCTCCTGCTCCTTTTCCCTCTCCCCTCCTCTTCCTTCTTTTGGTTTTTCTCGCTGTGTAGCTCCAGCTATTCTGGAATTCGGTATGTGGATCAGGCTGGCCTCTGTTTCACAGATCTGTGGCCTGTCTCTTGGGATTAAAGGCTTGCACCCCCATACCTAGCTTTCCTTTTTGAAGTAACTATTTAGCTTTTCTGTAGACCATGTTTGGCAGTTCCTTTACTTTGAACTGCTAGTTGACCCATTTGGTGAGAGCGCCCTCTGGTGTTCATAAGACGTGTTTGCAAGCTGATGGGATTTCCCTCCGGGGGACAAAGCCTTGAGCTTAGGTGAACTGCTGAGAAATGTCACTGTAGCCGGTGGCCTGACATGTTCAGACGGCACAGGCACAAGTGGTATATTTGTTTCCTGTACTTCATAGCTACAGCACTGTCCATAATATTGGCTTACCATAGCTGAGCTAGTTCGGGTTGTTCAGCTTCTTTGGTGCTGGGCTGGCTCATTTCCGATGATTTCCCGATTATCAGAGCGCCTCTCATTGCGATTGCTCAGTCAGAAGTAGGAATGTGTGTCTTATTTATTAGGATAAAATCAGACCTATACAGAGTTTACGGTTTTGTAAAATATGCCACACGGATTTAACAAAATCCAGATAAGAAGATTAGTAGAACTATTTATACAATATACAAACCTAGAGGCCATATATTTTTTAAATACCCAGTTAGCTTGAATGTGCATAGTGCTGGTAAAGTCCGAGATGATTCAGTATTCTTTTCAACAGATGGCAGGTGTTGGGGCTTTCTTCCCTTGGGTGCCATTTTAGCACAGGAGAGAGCGCCTCCCCGAATGCTCCTCCCTGTATAGTCTGCGGTTTTGAGTTACAGAAGAAACGGTGCCAGAACATTTGTTAGGGAATGCTGTTGACAGTGGCTGGTGAAAGTAGTTTGAACGGTAAAACCCTTTGTGAGGATCAGACACACGTGGTTTCCTTTCCCTGATCATGGATTCCACTACTTTCTTGGTCCCTTACCCCCAACCCTCATGGTTCACAGACCTTGTAGGGCTATGACTGTAGACCTATGAAACTGTAAAGACCCTGAACCCAGACCGGGTTAGCCAGCGGAACCACACTGAGCAGCAGAGCAGTGTCCTGGGTCTGTGACCACGGCCGCAGAGGCCCCTTTCTGCATGTGAGTCGCCGGTCAGTGGCCCAGGCACCGGGTCTGGGGTCACTGCTGTCTTCTCAGAGCCTTGTCCCCGGGAGCTTTCTGCTCCTTGTATCTGGAAGTCTCACTCATCATACTCGCCATTCTGAGCTCCCTCCTATTCTGGGCTCTGTCCTAATGTGGGTTCCATGGGGGGACATTCTCAAGGTGTCTTGGACGAGTTGCTGAAAACCCTGGCCCCTGTCTCTTCCCTTGTAGGGCAAACGTGGTATCAAAATGATGTCATAGGTGGTGGCGCACACCTTTAATGCCAGCACTGGGGAGGCAGGGGCAGGCGGATCTCTGTGAGTGAGTTCAAGGCCAGCCTGGTCTACAGACAGAGTTCAGGACAACCTCAAACAATTCAGAGAAAGCCTGTCTCGAAAAACAAGCAAACATGTCATAGATGGCTTCTGGAAATGTAGCATGTGGGTGCTGTTGTTAACCACACAGCTTTGGGTGTTCTGTGTGTGTGTACGCACACGTACGTATGTATGTACACACATCCCTGATAATAGTGGCTAAGGCAGATGATGGGACCCCACTCACTGTCACTCCAGTCTTGTCTCCGGACATTGGTGTAGTATGAGCAGCAAGGTGACCCTGTCCTCTTTCCAGGTGGCTCTGGATCTATGGGAGGATTTCAGCCTCTGCAGGGAAGGGCAGAGGGCATGGGTCGTTCAGAAGATCCACGAGTCCCAGTTCGTCATCGTGGTGTGCTCCAAAGGCATGAAGTACTTCGTAGATAAGAAGAGCTACAAGCCCAAAGGCGGCGGCCAAGGAGAGCTCTTCCTAGTGGCCGTGGCGGCCATTGCCGAGAAGCTCCGTCAGGCCAAGCAGAGCTCACCTGCAGCGAGGAGCAAGTTTATCTCCGTCTACTTTGACTACTCCTGTGAAGGCGATGTCCCCTGCCTCCTGGACCTGAGCACCAAGTATAAGCTCATGGACAACCTTCCTGAGCTGTGTTCCCATCTGCACTCAGGAGAGCACAGCCTGCAGGGGCTGGGTCAGCGCCCAGGACACAGCGGCAGAAGGAACTACTTCCGGAGCAAGTCCGGCCGCTCCTTGTACGTTGCCATTTGCAACATGCACCAGTTTATAGATCAGGAGCCTGATTGGTTCGAGAAGCAGTTTCTACCCTTCCCTCCCCCACCTCCCGTGCGCTGCCAGGAGCCAGTCCTGGAGAAGTTTGACTCGGGTTTGGTTTTAAATGACCTGAGCAAACCAGGACGCGAGAGTGACTTCTGTCTGAAAGCTGATGCTTCTGTACTTGGGGCCACCAGGCCAGCTGACACATACTCCTACCTGGAAAATCACCACGCAGGCCTGGAGCGAGACACGGGGGCCACGCCCGTCTGTGACAGTGGCCCTGCCTTGCAGCCTCTGCTGCACGCAGTGAAAGCTGGTATTCCCTCGGACATGCCCCGGGACTCAGGCATATATGATTCCTCTGTGCCCTCCTCAGAGTTGTCTCTGCCTCTGATGGAAGGCCTCTCCCCTGACCAAATGGAAACCTCTTCCCTGGCTGAGAGTGTTTCTTCCTCCTCTGGTCTAGGTAAGATGCCTTGGAACTGGGCCCTCATTTTATCCACCTTCTTCTGAGCACTGGGATTAAAAGCCTGTCTAGGGGTTGGGCTCTTGATATAGTCCGTACATCCTCTGGCCACACTTTTGAAAGCCATCGAAGCATTTCTCCAATTAGGCTCCCTTATTGAATAGTGAAACCTGATAGGGAATAGCATAACTCCTCTGAACTGCAGAAATAATGGTAAATTATGGTGAGCTGCTCAGACTGACCCCTCCACCGTGTTATATAGACTGTTGTACGTGGTATTGCCTTTAAAAAAGTGTGTTTATTTTCTTCATGTGTGCACACGTCCCATGGCAGAGGTGTGGAGATCCAAGGGTAAGCTGTAGGAGTAGGTTTCCATTGCGGGGTCCCCAGATTAAACTCTGGTTGTTGGGACTCGGCGGTAGTCTCCTGACACCAGCCCTGCATTGCCTTCCTACGTTCGGAAAATACTGGAATGCTAAAACACGTCTGTGGAGTTGTGTCTCTGCTGGGACCATAGCATTTGTACCTTTATCCTCCTCCTGCCTCCAAAGCCCCCATATGTATTGACCCTGAAGTTCCTGGATGCAGTGTTCTCCACCCTAGCTTCAGCTGCACTCCAGGTGGGAGGGCTCCTCCCCAGCCTCAGGAATCTACCACATGCAAAACTTGGGCCCTGAGGGAAGGATCTTCCTTCCTCTCTTAAGGGGACTAGATCCTGGTAAGCGAACGAGAGAGTTGGCCTTAGCGGGCTCTGATGCCTGCCTCACTGGGACAAAAGCAGACCCCAGCCATGTCGTGGGACGGGGGTCTGGGCCAGTGAAACACGCTGACGGTGTGTCTCTATCCTTTCTTCTCTCCTTAGGCGAGGAGGATCCCCCTCCCCTCCCGTCCCGGCTTCTCACCTCGGGGGCATGCAAAGGAGAACACGGTTGCCACAGCTACACTGACGATCTCCAAGCGGTTGCCCCTTTGTAAGGGACACGGGAGAATCTAAGCAACGCCACTTTAACGCCGCCCGCTCCAGCTCCCCAGCTCACCCCTGCAGCTGTGCAGCCTGTTTGGAGCAGGGCTCACACACACACTAGGGTATCTGGAATGAAATTCTGGCCAACACTCCATCCTTTCTACTCTAGCCTTCTATAACAGATGATTAGCAGAGTCTCCCATCTCCCAAAAGCACGTGGAGCTCTACGAGGCATGTCCGCTAGGTCAGGGGGCAGCTGGCTGTGTGAGGACACCCCTCGGATCGGAGCCTGTTCTGGGAGCTAGAGAGGAAGCAGATAAAGAGAACAGGAAACACGAGTACCACTTGTTCTTGCTTCGCTGAGCTCCGCAAGCCTTTCCCGGCTACTTGAATTCAAATGCTTTGTGGGAAAAGCACTTTGAACCTCATTACAGCCACACATGTCAGGTACTGTCTGGGACTCAGATTTTGCTGCAAGTGACGTTCCCATCTGTTTTTTGATGTGGGACTTAAACTGTACTGAGTGTTAAGTAAACTTTGAGTCAAAGGTCCGGGCAATGACTGAATGTCCATCCAGTCACTTTTTGTGAAACAACTGTCTCTGTATTACTGGGAAACATGGCTGGCCAGGATGGAGTCCCATGGAGCAGGCTGACCACCTTGACCATCCTATGTGAAGAAGATGCCAGAAGCTGGGCATCTTCCCTGAGTTAAAGTAGCCATCATGTGGAGACCACAGCTGTCTGTTTTGTTCCCCTGAGTTGCATTTACTGCTCTGCAGCTGGGGCGATGATGGCTGATGCTCAGCTGGGCAACTTTGTTGGAAGCTGTGCCTCTCCTTGGGCTGGTGCTCTGTGTCCTGAATGTTAGAGGTCAGAGTCTACTAAATTACACAGTGTGGGAGGTGGTGGCCATTTAGTCTACTGATGTGGTTAGTGACAAACCTTCTTAGACAGCAGGAAGGAGGGGATTGTTACAAAAGTAAATGTTCTATTTTTATGAATGACTCTTGTACAGAAGTTCTTTTTCCAAAGGCGAAACATCTTTTTACACGCTGTTGGTTAGATGTATGTAATGACGCGTCCGTCTCCTCTGTGGAAGCCCTTATACTCTCGTCCTGACACGCTTGGTCACTTCTATCATGAGTGCTGCTGGATTCTGGCAGTCTGTTTTCTGAGCATTCTACCAGGAACCGTGAAGGATTTCCCCCATTCCTTAACCAGATAGGATCCGTGCTGAGATCCTATCTGGTCACGGAATGGTTAAGGAGGCTGCCGAGAAAGATCCCAAGGTGGGGCGGAGGCCAGATGAGGCAGGGCTTTTCCTTCTAGGCACGTTTTCAGCGGGAGGGGAGGGGAAGCCCGGCTCTCACTGAGAAGAAGCGGAGATCTGTGTGTATTTTGGATGAAAGTGCCCTCCCTGCTCTGCACAGGCAGCTGGCGGCTTCTCCAGAGAGTGCGTTCCTCTGTCCGCTGGCAGAGAACAGAGCAGCTGCTCTGGGCGAGCTGTGAAACCAGGCCTCTCAGCGGAGGAGGAGTCTGTTCCATGTTGTCACTGTGGAATCCAGACCAAGCAGACGGAGCTCCCAACTCCACGAGACTCCCCTGGCCATCCTCAGTCTTGGCATTTCTTCTCTGAAGGAGATTGGTGGGCCTGAATTGCTAATGTATGACTATTCACTGGGAACATCAGTTTTTTTTTTAAACTGAGGCCAAGAAATATTTTATGCCTCCTCTCCCCAAAGAAACCCCTTGTAGGATAGATACTCAGCTTTGCATATGGAATGTGGGTCCCCTGAGATTGTCTAGGGACAGCACGGGGCCTTGGGCTTAGAGCTAAGCAAGGCCCAGGCAGAGAGCTCACTGCATGGATTCAGGTGAGGAAACCGTCTGAGCCATCTTCTGTGCTAATCTGAAAAGCCAGGATCCCAAATGAGGTGGTGTTTCAGCTTGCATTTAGCGGCTGGATGCTTTTATTTTGAAATACAAATGTTTCTGATCAGAAGACTCGGATTCTAACGTGCCAAGTGATGGAACTGCAGAGAGGTTGCCTAGCTCAGGGTGAGCTGACTGTGGGCAACGAGGTGAAATTTTATTAGTCGACCCCTTTTCTGCCTCCCATCTGGTCACTTGAGCTAGGAATGAGAATTGCCTTGCAGGCGCAGACAAAGTGTCTGTTCTGAACAGAGCTGCAGGTTTTGACTCAGAATTGCCCCTCGCAGTACAAATGGCGAGGTTAATTAGGGAGACCTGACAATGCACGGGCTTTCTGATGCTGTAGGGGATCAAGAGGAGGTTGGGGCTGAGTGAACAGTATGTGGGGAGGGGGAGGTGTCCACTGGAAAGGAGGCCAGGGCGAGGCTGGGGCTACAGGAGGCCAGGAATGATGAGGCGGTCGTTGACCTGTGTCTGTGGGAACCACCTCAGTGGACCCCGCCCAGCTACCTGAGTGCAGAGGCTCGGGGCTTTGGGGCACATGGATGTCTAGATGTAATCACAAGCCATCCTTGCCCAGGCCCAGGGGTCCAGACAGGACCTGCACAGGTGCTGCAGTATTTTGACTCAAAAGTGAGACCGGGCCTTAAAAGTTAGGGTCTGAAGGTTTTGATTACCAGACAAGTGCTAACTGAAGTCAGCCCTGGGTCAGGAGTTAAGCCTGTCTTTCGTGATGATGAGGTCACTGGGAGTCAGCTTGCAGGCCGAGATCAAGTTCATGTGGGATTGAAGCTCACACTTAACACTCCCGAGCCACGTGACTTTTTTTTTTTTTGGTTTTGTTTTGTTTTACTGGTTTTTTTTGACAACCTCTAGTCTTAGGTCCTCTGACAAGTAACTAAATAGGAAACTGTCCCAACCTGCCTCAGAACTGTGGGATTGCAGGGTTGTGGGGGCTTTTCAGAAGGAATAGGGAAGCTGTTTTGTTCCTGGAGGAGAAAGAAATGAAGACACAAAAATCCCTAGCCACCTCAACACGAGAGAACATTCTGCCCTTATTGAAAACAGGTAGGCAACACCAATGTGAAGGTTTCTCTTCCTTTTCTTTTATCTTCCATTGCTGGGGGATGGCTGTGCCTTCTGGGACGCCAGTGTACTCAGGCATAAGGAGAACAGCGGTGACATGCCACCTCCAAGAGAGGCGATAGGACACGGTGGAGCAAACTGAGTCACCCCTGTTCCGGAGCAGAGAACACTACAGATGAGTGTCTCCAAGCTGAGAAGATCTACTTTTTAAGCTGTTAAGGTCTAGCTCTGACAAGCCAGACAACCCAACTTTAGTCCTGCGAACCTACCTTCTCCTGAAAGCTGAGTTCATTAACTTCCTCATGCTGACCAACTGTGGCACTCTCAGACACACACACACACGCACACACGCACACACGCACGCATACACACTAAATTAAAAAAAACCTCAAAGTAAGCAAGGCATGGACACTGAAACCTTAGAAACTACTAAAATGAATTCAGGGCCAACAGAATGTGTAGATGAATCTAGTTTTGTATAGCGGCTGCCCGGCTGTGACCTCTGCTTTATAAGATGTGGAAAAGCCATCCACAGTCGTCACAGATGTGTGGGGGCCCGGGACAAGCTGCTGTTAGCCCTGTCCTTCGGGAAACTTGATGCAGTCCTGATGATATTGCTTCTTATGTAGCCCAGGCTGGCCTTAAACTCCCGATGCCTCTGTCTCTGGCATGCGCCATGACCCGCAGCCTCAATATGATTCTGAATGCATTTGAAATGCATCTGTGTCTTTCGTGGGCAGCTCAGCTGTCAATTTCAAACTCAGATGCATACTGCCCTGCGTTTGAAAGCAGGCAACAGTTGTATTTAAAGCCCTGGACTTCGGGGGGCCTTTTTTGTAGTTAGCTCTAGTTGTGATCATGTTTTTATGTGGCGGGGCATTTTCTGAGCTTATGCCAAGATATTAGGAGAAATTCACTTGGCAAGATAGCAAAGACTGGTGAAACACCCCACCTGGGTTCTGGCATCACCCTTCTTCTGTAGCCCAGGAAGCGGAGAGGTGCGTTTCCTCCTGTAGTTGAGACACTGTGTGTCCCCATGGGTGCTGGCTCCCCCATGTCGTATCGCCACTTTTCCAGACCCAACGGTGAAAGTTAGCTGAAGCAAGGCTGGCTGTAAGCGGCTGGCTTTGGCTACGGTGAGGAGAGGCTTACATCACCCAGCACGTTCCCTCCAGTGTGCTCAAGACGGGCTGTGCTTGACTTGTTCCAGACAGGAGGCTGTGGCTGAGAGCCTGGCTCCCCAGTGAAGACTCTGCAACGTCCCTGCGGATCAGAAAGTTCTAGTTCTTCGTATGTCTTTCTTGCAGAAGAAGAAATTCAAGCCAGCCCTCTTTTGTCTAGGGTGTAGAGGAGAAAGAACAGCTGGTCACCTTCCCTTCCCAGTATTGAGAAGCGTAGTGAAGTCATCCTCTGGTGTGTTTGCAGTGGTAAATAGCCCCACCCTCTGAGTTTCACAGCTCCAGGTCTCCAGGTCTCCAGGGCCTTTAATGGTTTCCTCTCCTGCACTCCTCAGCTTCACACTCCAGTTTTGTTGCCCAAACGACGCCCGAACCCAAACGAGGGTGCCACCCGACAGCCACACCCCAGTTAGGATTACAGGGAGATTTGTGCGGGCCTAGCTGCTCTCACCACATAGCAAACCGTCACAGCCCTTTTAAAGGGCTGTCACCTCACCGATAGCGCATTCCAAGGGTTATGCCCTTGTGCTCTCTTGGTGACAATCCTTGCTCCTGCTTTGTAGCCCCCCAGGCAGTTGGTGCTTATTCCTGATGTATTTAACTTCTTTCTTTAATCTGAAGACGCCCTTCCGAGTGGCAGCTACCCCATACGCCAATTTTGGGTTCTGTTTTTGCCTATCTCTAGGCTTGGCCTTTATTTTTGTGAGTCAGACTATTATCTAAGTGGCGCATGCCTCAGCAGAAGTCCTGGCAAGGTAAAGCCAGGGGCTGCTAAGTGCCGCCTTCCCGACGCTGTTGGGGACTAGTTTACAAATCCCTTTGAATGCCTCAGGGAGGGCCTGGGGAGCTTTGGCCAATTGTTTTCTTTCCTGCCCCTTGGACCATGCTGATGTCTGCCAGGCATAGCGGTTGGTACAATCAGAAACCAGACAGAAGCAATCGTTCCAAGTGCACGGCAAGTATTTATATCACATAGATCCTGCAGAAAGAGTCAAAGGAGCAGCCTCCTGTGGATGCCACAGGGTTATGTGCAGTGCACTCATAGGTTCCTTTAAGAAACTTCCTCTCCAAGAAGCAAAAACTTGGACGGCAGCAAAAACTTGTGTACCAACCCAAAGTGTTTATTTTGAGAGTAACTTTCATTTTCCCTTATCTGTTAAAAAACAAAGCTGTTTTTACTGTGGAAGTTCTGTGTTAAGGAGGAAGGCGGTGATGACTGATGCCGTTGTTTATCTTTTAAGGCTTTTCTTTGTGGGATTTGGCAGAATAGTCATCACCGACAGCTGTGGCAGTGTGCCGTATTTTTACATTGGAGATATCGATGGTACATGTGACTGGACAAAGCCCTGTAAATAGATGATAACAAGTCACGGCTGACGTTTGTAAGATGTGTTTGTGCCTTAGGATTTCTGGATCAAATAAAACGTTTTGTGGTCAGCCTGCCGTGGTGGTTCCTTGTTTTCAGAACGGCTGTCCCGTTACTGTTTCCTCCGGAGCTTGAGCTCCTCACCGTTCACAGAGGTAAGGAGGGCTTGCACTCGCTCTCTGACTTCTCGGTGCTCATCCCTTCCTGCTGAGTCCCAGCCCTGCTGCAGGTGCTGTGACCCTGTGGTAGGAGACCTGGATCTCCAGTTTCTGTCTATAGAATGGGCCCAAAGCTGGCAGTGCCCAGCTGCTGTTAGTGTACCCAAAGTGAGAGGCATCCACCAGAGGGCACCGGTGGATAAGGAACCGCCAACGTTTGGACTCTTGGGAGTGTCGGGGTCAGAAATCCGGGTCTTGTTCGTTCCTTCTGCTCTGGTTCTGTTATGTGCCCAGAATCCATAGTTTGTATTTTTGCGGGAACTTGAGGGAATGGAAGTTGCAAAGAGCAGCTTTGAAGCAATCACCGTGGGCCATGGGAGAGGACACGCCCCCTTGCCTTGGCGTAGACACCATTCTTCCTGTCCCCATGGTTGGAAAACCCTCTTGGGTATGGCCTCATTTAGCGTACTGTGACTGTTTGTGGTGAGTCACCTCACCGTCCCCATTTTACAGACAAGGGGACAGAAGCTCAAGCTCTCAGTGAAAAATGTCAAAGGACAGGACAGCCCCTAAGGGCTGGGGCTTTTATTCTAGATACAAGGAGAGGGCAGGCAGGAAGAGGCATCGGGAGTCTGGAGTGCGCATGCCTGGCAGACTGAGCAGGGCCACAAGAGAAGAGGGCAGAGAGAGAGCCAAGAGGAGCCAGGACACCAACAGACACACAGGACCAGTCGCCCAAATGGCAGAGGTTATACAGGGAGGATCAACTGGGGTAAGGGCCGCCCAGCCCCTGGGCTGCTGGAGAGTTCAGAGCAGGGGGCAGAGTGTGACAGGTACTGGGATCCCCTTTGATATGGTGACAGACACCTCAGCCTCAGCCCTTTGTCCCTGGTTTGAAACCCAACACAACTGTCACCCACCTTACTGCTCAGGCCTGGGCTGCCAGGTAGAGGTAGACTCGACATTGTCAGGCTGAGGAGGAAATGATGACAGCCTGGAGGGTTCCACCTGACCCGAGAAGGAGCCATCAGCAGCCTCCCCCGGTATTCGTGCCCAGATGCAGGGATAGGTAGCTTTGCTAAGGTCACAAACAAGGGACTGGCAGCCCGGGGACTGAGACACCGTCACATCTGCTTGACAGTTGACAGCATCTTCATAGAACGGCAGGAAGGACCTTGGGTGGTAATCAAAAGAGACTGTTCTTAAGTATCAAGAGTGAGTCTTGTTCTCCTGGTTGTCTTTTTGCCTGGACTTCCTGCCGGGAGGTCCCTGTGTGCACACGGCCACACTCACCCTAGACACCAGCAAAGGCGGGGGGGGGGGTAGAGGGGGTGGAGCTCAGAGGAAGCCTAGTGGACATGTGGCTGAAACCAGGGAGGCCATGCCAAGGACCCAAACAATACTTCAGACCCCTGGGAACGGCAAAGCGTTCCGCTGGTGTAGTGCAGAAATATTAAACTACACAAAATAAGGATGTCGGGGGCTGGAGAGATGGCTCAGAGGTTAAGAGCACTGACTGCTCTTCCAGAGGTCCTGAGTTCAATTCCCAGCAACCACATGGTGGCTTACAACCATCTACAATTCAATCTGGTGCCCTCTCCTGGCAGAACACTATATGTAATAAATAAATAAATCTTTAAAAAAAACAAAATAAGGATGTCCTATATTTATTAAAAGAGAAATCCCTTTGGGTGTGTTCAGCACTTACGGATATGTAAAATCACTCCCTGCGCTGGTGTGTGTGTGGATCTTGACTGCACAGAAAGTGAATGGAAGCTTCCTCCTCCTGGATCGTTTACAGCCTGAGATGGTGCCCTACAGAGATTAACCAAAACTCCCTCTTTATTCAGAGTGGCTTGGTAAACCGGCTCCTTGTTCAACTGAATTCAATAAACCTGCCTCGATTCATCCGAATAAAATAAACACATTGAGTTTCCAGTGTGCACAGCCCATGTGACCCCAGCACGCGGGCAGACGTGCGTCTGTCTGTCTGTCTCATTTCTTCATTGCCCATCACCTCAGGTAGGTCAGTTCTGTCACTGCACACTCCAGGAAGTGGATAGAGGTTGGCATCAAGATAAACAGGCCAGGTCAAGAGGAACTTGGGTTGGAGAAGGTGACACGCCTGGCCTTGCATGTTAGGGCAGGTTCTGTCTGTCTGGTTTTAGCTCCTGAAGCTAAGGCACTTTGAGGTCTCTACACTGGGTGAGACTACAAGCTAGTGACGAGCTTTTATTAGCATTGGGGGTGCTGTGGTTCAGGCTTTGGTCTGCCGCCATGCTGAGCTCAGGGCTCCATTTGCTGATGTCTTTTCGACTCTAGGCAGGTGGCTTGCCCTGTTTGGGCTTTAGTTTCCTAAACCAAGCAAGGCTGTGTTGAGATTTGAATGTACCAGGTGATTCTGGATGTATAACCTGGCACACAGTGTCTGTGGACATGTGGTCGGTCACCAGGGGGCAGGCCAGGTGCAGTGAAGTGAGGTTTCCCTCAAGAGCCTTCCTCAGGCAGGGCCTGGCCTATAGCCAGACCAGACCTGGTACCTCTCGGATATCTCAGGGTAGAAGGGCAGCTGGAAATGTGTGAGCATGACATGGGTGGACCCTCGTGCCTCTGGAAAGTCCTTCCACGAGGGCTGGGCTGGTATTCTGCTTTAACCAGCTTGTGACCCCAGGCCTTCTGGGACAAGTCCTCTCATCTCCTTGGCTCTCAGTGTCAGTGGAGGGTAAAAATGTGTCTGATGGGTCCATGTGGGGACACCAGACTTTGAGCAGAGACCCACTTCCCCATCGGCCTGAGAGTAGGCAGCTGTAAGACAATGTTTACTAAAAACATGTTTACTAAAAACAATACAATGCCCAGGGCAATAAGTTCCTGGAAAGGGCTTGCCCACAGGAACCGCCCTGACCTCGACCTTGTCCAAAGACTAACTGCCTCTTCTGCCACGCCCAGATCAGTTTTTGGTGTCAGAGCAGAACCAGCCAGGGGAGAGGAGAGAGCAGAAGCTTTTCTGGAGGGAGGCTCTCTTGGGAAGTTTTCTTGAGCCTTTTTGGGGCCTGCTTAAAGTTTTCTTTACACCGTTGAACGAGTCTCTGTTGTCAATCCCCGACACCCTCCACACATTCTCGGACACAGGCTGCGCAGCGGACGCGGCAGGTCCGTCCAAGGATAAAACTCTTGGAGGGGGTGCTCAGCAATGTTTTCTCATGTGAGCAGTTACTAATTTGCCAACAAAGAAAGGCTCCAGCAGGCTCCCAGGAGTCCAGGTATCCAGAACCATGTGGATGCCCCACCACATATTTCCTCCTAAACGGCTGGTACTGTCTTCACGGTTTCTTTCTGGCGGTGGGGTTCTGTGTGCAGATTGGAAAACAGGATCACGTGGGCTCCAGCCGAATCACCCAGGTGTTGGATGCCTACTACTTTGCCAAGCTCCATGCCACTCTTGAGTACTCCTTGACCTCCCAACCGGCTCTGAAATTTACATGGTGTGCAGCCTCTAGGATAAGAGTCAACCCCAGGTGCTTCCTGTGCACAGCTTTGGCAAACCCACTAGATGCTCAACTGAGCTCCTTGTGCTTCCTTTAACCCAGGTGAGCAGAAAGAACCTAATGCATGGAAGTCTTCCAGTGGCTACATCCAGAGTATTGCTTTGACTTGAACAATAAGACCAAGGCTTTACTCCTCTTGCAGGTAATGCCATTCCCCAGGTGGGGATGACATCATACTGTGTTGTTACATCATCAGGCTACACCATGGTTTTCAAACACTGAAAACAAGCATAGGGAGTGTCTGTGTAGGGTATGGCTATAGGCATACCTGAGATTGTCTCTTGCAGGAATTCCATTACTAGGACTGTGTGTGTGTGTGTGTGTGTGTGTGTGTGTGTGTGTGTGTGTGTGTGTGTTTGAGGCAGGATCTCTTGTAGTTTAGATTGGTTTCAAACTCATAATGTACCTCAGGAGGTCTTGAACCCCTGTTCCCCAAGTGCTGGAATTATACAGGTGTGAGCCATCATGTGTGTGGGTCTCATTTTTAGGGCTTTATATGTGTGAGGTAACTAGAAATAGTGGTCAGCATTTATTCTGCAAAGGTTCTCCTCACCAAACACTATCATGACACTCAGAATGGGGACAAAGCCACATTGGGACTGAGTGTGAAATGGTACATTCACACAACAGCCCAAGGAGTCCTGTTGCAGGAGAGTAGCCTACGTGGGCTGGAGATGTAGGTCAGTAGAACGGCATTTGCCTGCTACTTATGGGCCTTGGGTTCCACCCCAGGTACAAAACAGCAACAAAAGAATTCATGTCGGCGCTGGAGAGATGGCTCAGAGGTTAAGAGCACTGGCTGCTCTTCCAGCGCTCCTGAGTTCAATTCCCAGCAACCACATGGTGGCTCACAACCATCTGTAATGAGATCAGGTGCCCTCTGCTGGCCGGCAGGTGTACATGCAGATAAAATACTGTATACACAATAAATAAATCTTTAAAAAAAAAAGAACTCATGTGAAAGAAAAAGCCTGACAAGTGTGGGAACTGAAAGACACATGTGCTAACAGTGCTCGCATCTAGGGGGTAGGATGGCGGCAGGGCTCATTTTGTAAGTCCTTTTTGGAACTCACTCTCAGGCTGGCCTCAAACTCAGAGAGATCCTCCTGTCCCTGCCTCCTGAGTGCTGGGATTAAAGGAGAGTGCCACCATGCCGAGATCCTCTGCCTCTGAAGCCTAGATAGTCCAACACATTTTCTGTTTATTCCCTGTTCCCATTGGAACCAAGTCCCCCTCCCCCAATCCACCGTCCTCAGGGCCTAGCAAGACACGAGGGAAAGCTGTATTTTAAACTCTTGAGGGAGCCAGGCCTGTTGGCACAGACCTGTAATCCCTACACTCAGGAGCCTGAAGCAGGAAAATTATGAGTTCAAGAACTGCCTAGGTGACCTAATGAGACCTTGTCTCAAAACAGAAGAATGAACTGGAGCTACAGCTCAGTGGATGAGCGTCCAAGGCTCTGAGCTCAGTCCCAGTGCTGTAAACTCTTGTGGGGTAATCCTGTGTGTTGTTATTCTTTTTGTTGTTGTTGTTGTTCTTTTTTTTCCAAATATTTTATTTATTTATTGTGTATACAGCCTTCTGCTTGCATGCCAGCAGAGGGCGCCAGATCTCATTCAAGGTGGTTGTGAGTCACCAAGTGGTTGCTGGGAATTGAACTCAGGACCTCTGGAAGAACAGTCAGTGCTCTTAACCACTGAGCCATCTCCCCAGCCCTGTGTGTTGTTATTCTTATGTCTGCTGCCAGCATATGTGATTCACTTTCTGGGTATCCTGACGTAGGAAACAGGAAATCAAGGACTCTGTCCTTAGTTATAATAAAATGTACATTTCCCCTCATGCTGTATAGGAAGCCCACCATCCGTTCCTCACTCGACAGTCAGCTTAATGCCTCCAAGCCACATGTTGACATCTGAGCCTCTCTGTGGGCGAGATCTGACACCTCAGCTTGGCCACCAAGCCCCCCTCTGCCTTGTCTCAACACCTGTCACCTCTGTGGCCTTCATGTCACGGCGCAGTCCAGGCCTCCTTCCTGCAGGAGACCGTCCTCCGCCTGGACGGGCACTCCCTCTTCTAGAGTCTTCTGCCATGTCCTCTCCCCGGCCCGCCGCCTGCCAAGGGTCTGTCTCGATCATCAGAGATAAATACGCCTGGGTGACAGGTACCACCACAGTTCTCCAGAGCCTGGCACAGTGCGTGGTGTGTAGCAAACATTCGAATGAAAAAAATTATTTTTGAGATGGGTCCTGTAGCTGAGTCTAGCTCCCAGCTCCTCTTTAACTGTTAAATCCACTCCAGCGGAAAGAGAACTTTGACAGGGCTGTGTGGGGAGACCGTCACGTGTGGAAATGTGAGCTGGAAGGGCTGCTGAGCTCTCAGTGAGAAAGTTAGTATTTTTTTGGTTTTTTGAGACAGGGTTTCTCTGTGTAGCTTTGGAGACTGTCCTGGACTCACTCTGTAGACCAGGCTGGCCTTGAACTCACAGAGATCCTCCTGTCTCTGCCTCCCGAGTGCTGGGATTAAAGGCATGAGCCACCAACGCCCGGCGCAAGTTACTATTTTTAATTTTTTGTTTTTCTTCGAGACAGGGTTTCTCTGCATGGCTTTGGAGGCTGCCCCAGAACTAGTTCTGTAGACCAGGCTGGCCTCGAACTCACAGAGATCCACCTGCCTCTGCCTCCCAAGTGCTGGGATTAAAGGTGTGGGTCACCAATGCCTGGCTTAGTATTTTTAATTTTTAAAAAGTTTTATGTGTGTGTGTGTGTGTGTGTGCACGCCTGTCTGTGTTGTATGTGCACCACTTGCATGCAAGTAGCCAGGGAGGCCAGAAGAGGGCATCAGTTCCCCATTACAGGTGGTTATAATCGACAGGATGTGAGTGAGGGAACCAAAGCCCAGTTGTAAGAACAGGTGACCCATCCCTCCGGCCCCTACGTAACACCGTTTGAACTTAATTAACACAGGTGGCATCGGTAGGGATTTTCCACCACACGGAGAGGGTGGGATAACAAAGTTTCTTGGGGGAAAGGTTGAGGGCTAGGGTTTGGACATGGACTGTGCCCTGGGCAATGTAGTACTAGTCCAGGGTGTGTGTTTCCTGAACGTCACGAGGTGGGGGGGGGGGGGGGGGGAAGCTCTGGTGAAGGAGCCTTCTTGAAACCAGAGTGGAAGGAAAGGGGGGTCTGTTCAAGATGCCCTATTTCTGGCCCCAAAGGTGAGCTGTGGGCCAATGAGAGCTTGCAGCCAGCAGCAAAGGGGGCTTTGAGGGATGTCCATCCGCCTGGGAGAGGAATTCTGAGCACTTCTTTCTAGCCAGGGATGCCAACAGGGATGGTGGCTCCTACTGGAAGATCTGTCATCTTCATCCTTTCCTGTGGGGGGAGGCAGTTAGTGCTCAGGCAGGGGTCATTAGGAACTCTCAGAGCCTGTTCCTGTGCCTTAGCCAGCAGCCCCTGGCGGCCCATCTCCAGCCCCTGGCGGCCCATCTCCATGAACGAGGGCGGCTCCATCTAGGTCAGTATCTACATCTGACAAGTGGGAGCCATGCAGGTATACATGTATTGGACTGCTGAGAATGCCAAATTCCATCAGACGCCTAAAACGGTTCTGGGCCAGGTGTCATGTAGAAGCAACCAGTGAGGTTTTTTTGTTAATTTTCAGCCCGGAGCTTACAGTTCCATGACAGCCCAGAAACTACCGTTTCCTCTACAGCATTCACTAGTCCTGATTTTATGAAGTTCTGAGAATGAATTAATTTCCGAAAGTTGCTTTATTTAGATTCTTAGGTTTATTTCTTCATGGGTAGTCCAGGCCGCTGTTGGTTTGGAGCAACCCCCTAACTGTGCCCAGCGCTTACTTTACAAACCCTCGATTACCGAGAACCTGCTGTGCCCATGCCATCTCCATTTTCCAACTCCAGACAGAGAGAAAGGTAAATTGGACAAAGCCTAGCATGACCAAGATTAATCCCGGCGGCGCGGGTGGAGGCTCCGTGCACACACAGGCTTGGGTCCAAGCTCGCCGGCTGCTCTTCTGTGCGCTAGTGAACTCTTCAGTCCTCTTTGGATGGCAGAGGGCGTCGTCGTAAAGGTCCTCCTCCTTGCCCTCCAGGGATCCTGCAGCCAGGCGTGAGACGCGAGGGCACCCAGCCTCAGCTGCAAGTCTTCCGAGGCTAGGTCGGTTCTCAGCCGGCTGCCAGGCCTGCCCCAGGGGGGTCCCAGGCCCGCCTCCCGCCCACGTGGCCCGCCCGGCCTCCTCGGCTCCGGCCCCGCCCCGCCCCGGGGAGCCGTCCCCGCAGTCCCCGCCGCGGCCCTGAGCTCTAGCCAGGCAGGGCCCAAGCAGCGAGACGCACATCGCGCGGCGCGACCCTCCCTTCACCCGTCGCCCCCGCCGTAGTAGGGTCCCACGGCCACCCTAGGGCGCGCCGAGTGGACAGCGCCACCACCTGCCTCTGCCAGCCTCTGCTCCTGCCGGGGACCCTAACTTCGGTCCCCTGGTAGCCCCTGGGAGAAAGTTCCCGGAGCTACTTCCGGGGAAAGAGGCGCCACCTGTCTGGGGCACACCCTTTTGCCGAGTTTCTCCAGGTCAGTGTCTCTGGCCGCTTGGCAAGGGCCAGGGCGCCGCCACCGCCAGCTGAGATCCTGAAACCGGAGACCGCATCTTTTAAAACCGAGCAGTGGACCGTCCTGAAATGGAAGGCGCCCGCCCAGGGCTGAAGGTGATCAAGCATGCCTGGTAGTCGGAGACCGGTGAGTATTTTCTGAGGGTGGTTCGTGGATGCGGTTCCCGAGGGCTTTGCGTGGTGGAGGGCTGCCCTTGGGCTATAGCAGCGATCTCATCCTGGCTGGAAGGTTGCGGGAACAGAGCGACTTGTTCCTGGAGAACTTGGCTGGCTTGGTTTCTAGCCTGGACCAGGCTTGCTTCCAGACTCTGGCAAGGATGTGAGCAGTTGCCCGGAACGCACCGGTGCAGACTGGAAGCGTTTCCTGATTACACAGGTGTACGAGCACCTTGTTCCCTGGAGCGTGGAAGAGTGCCTTTTCTGTGTTGGCTGTGCCACGATTATGTACGAGCAGGAGCTTTAAACGCTCCATAAGGTTACGGGCCCATCGTACTGATTGGCTGCAGGTGAATGCTGTCCCTGTGGGCGGTGGTCTTGTTATGGCCGACGATGTCCGCGTCATAGCGGTCTCACATCTTCTGCTTCCCAGTAAGGTGACACGCAGGACAGTGTCCCTTCTTCTGCCGCTTGGGATCTGACCTTATGTGTCCAGCCCCACAGGGCCCTGGATCAGATTAGAAAACTTGGCTTTGCAAGAATGCCTCCTATCGCTAACCAGTTTGTGCAAGGTGTATCTGAGAATGTGGCGTTAGGCATGACCTTTGTCAAAGGATATCGCTGAGCAGAGGGTCTTGGATGCTCTGGAAACAATGGGTGTTTGCCTTTGGGGGTCAGAACGGATGAGACTTCTCTTGAATTCCACCTAGCGTTGGGGCCCTAACCAGCTGACAACCTCTCTCTGAGCGCCCAGTCTATTTAAGGGTCCAGGGGTCTGCTGTGTCTTGATCTCTGTCATCCTTTCATCTAAGTTGGAATGAATATCCTCTTGCATCGTTGGTGTCTTCCTGGGCTGCACCTGTTTAGTTTCTTTCTTCACACAAGAGTGCTGAACCAAGGGTCCTGGGATCCTCTTGAAATTGACACCCCAAGAGGCCTGTGTGCCACAGGCGTGGATTCTGAACCACTCATGGGTAACGACAGGTCCTCACCCCTCTCTAGGACAGACCCACATTTTTAGGGAGTGCAGATGGTACCGGTGAGCTGCTGTGTGTATCTGGTCAGAACACACTTACACATGGGAGATTCATGTCAGCCCAAACTCGAGAAATTCTGACCAAGTGACTGACTGGGCAAAGACAATGGCAGGCCCTGGGTTAGGGATCTTAAGCATTTATGGGGCCTGTAGGATAGGGTGCAACTAATGAAAGTCTGAGTTTGGGGTGTCTAAGCCCCCCAAATGCTGGAATTCCATTCGTGAGCCACTGGTTCCCAGGTTGAGAGCCTTTAAAAGCAGTAGCGCTAAAATCCTCTAATGGCAGGGAGCTTAAAGCCTTCTGGCCTAGGTGGTTCCCTTGAAAGAAAGTGGGGACAAAGGGTCAGAGTCCTGTGGCCCTCTGATGAGGACAAGCTGTGACCTCCAGGCTTGGGCTGCTCTTATCCTTCCTGCCTGTTTTACTTCCTGATTGTCCTTCCATCCATATCTATCCAAGGTGGTTGTTTACACTTCTTGCTGACCCTGAGGTCCCTGTGCCCTAACCAGAACTCAGGATGCCACTGAGCCCTGTGTGAGCGTGGATGGAGGGGAATGGGGGGGCCCGGCAAGTGAGGAGGTGCTCAGGAGGGTCAGGGGTTCAAGGCCAGCCTGTTTCCAGAAACCAAGATGGGTGGTGGGAAAGGTACAGGGGGAAAAAAAAAGCCAAAGGTTATCGCCATAATTCAGAAGTCCTCAAGGCCAAACTGTGTATCACTCTGGCCCCTGATACTGCATTGGGGGTGGGGAGGGGGGGCTTTGGGTTTTTGTTTTCTATATTTGCATTTCCTGTTCTTTCACTGATCTTTTCTGAATTACTCTTTAATCAGCTTATTCATTGTCATCTTTATTGTGTACTTGCTGAAAATTAGCTTTGGATCCATTTTTTAAAGGTTTTCTGCAAGTATTCTCTGATTTGTGTTGCCGGTGTCTATAATCAGAGAGAGGGGAAATGGAGTAGCTGTGTGCGGTTCTGATTCATTGACATTTCTTCTTGGGAGATATATACACACACGGGGGGGGGGACTGGGAAGTAGTATTTTATTTGTTTGTTTTGTTTTGAAACAGAGTCTTGATACATAGCCAGGCTGACCTCGAACTGTCCATCCTTCTGGTTCAGCCTCTCCAGTGCTGGGATTACAAGCATATACCACTAAGCCTTTGCCAAAGGTTGTTCTTGTGTTTGCTTTATTTGAGATAGGGCCTCTCTCTGTGGCTTGGGGTAACCTGGCACTCACCGTGAGCCCAGGCTTGCCTTGACTTTGTGGTAATCCTCCCAGCTGATCCTCTCAAATTCTAGGATACCAAGGATACACCATCATGGTTGCTCTTGTGTCTCCCCGGGGGCTTGAACCAGGTAGTTTAGCTTGCTGACTTCATTCTGTCAAGCAGAGCTCTGGAGGACTTGGAGGAGACTCTAGCTGAGTCCCCGTTGTCCAGAGCATGGGCAGTGTTCTTCCCACTGGAGTCGGTAGTCCGTGGCGCAGGCAACTAGACGTAGGGATGACCCGAGAGTGACGGTGACATGGAAATGGCAGTAGGGAGGGGTCCCCAAATGGTGGCACGCAGGCACATGATTTGGTGAGAGAGTGTCTCTTTGAGAAGGTACACTTGAGCAGAAGCCTAGATGTGTCAGCCTGGGAATACATAGGCAATGACAACGCCTATGGTGCCCAAGGATGGCCTTTCTTTCTTTCTTTCTTTTTTTTTTTTTTTGTCTTTTTTTTTTTTTTTTTTTTTTTTGAGACAGGACTTCTCTTTGTGTAACTCTAGCTATCCTGGAACTCACTCTGTAGCCCAGGCTGGCCTTGAACTCACAGAGATCCGACTGCCTCTGTCTCCCAAGTGCTGGAACTAAAGGTGTGCGCCACCACCGCCCGGTGCGGTTTTTCCTTTTTCTAGACAGGGTTTTTCTGTGTAGCCCTGGCTGTCCTGGAACTCAGTGTGTAGACCAGGCTGGCCTAAAACTCAGAGATGCACCCGCCTCTGCCTCCTGGGTGCTGAAATTAAAGGCGTGCACCACTCCATGAATACGTGTGTGCGAATAGAACCTCGCATGTCTGTTCTGACACTATTGCTTCTGCCTTCTGAATGCTGGCATTACAGGTACGAGCGACCTCACCTAGTTCACATGATGCTGGGGATTGCACACATGGCTCTGCATGCCGGGGAAACTGAGCCACATCTTCAGCGGGCTGCCACCTCCTGAGCACAGGGCCAGTCTGGTTGCCTTGAGAAGGGGGAGGGAAGGAGGCAGTGTGGGAAGAGGCTCTTCCCTGGTCCTGGGGAGGCAATGGCGCACTATGACTTCGTGTGGGGATGCTAGCACCTTCCCCGACCACGGCCGTCAGCTCTGCAGCCTTGCAGAGACAGACGGATCTTCCCAGGTGGTTTACTGGGAGGCAGTGACCTCAGAGGAGAAGTTGGCTCTAAAGGTCTCCTGGCGGTCTCAGTGCACAGCCCTCTGCCCCTGGTTGGGGTCCCGAGCTGGCAGTGGCGTGATGCTGGCAGCCCGTGAAGAGTCACGGGATGTGGGGGATGCCTGGACCTCTGGGCAGCCATAGAACACGAGGCTGGAGGAGTCGGTGCACATCTCCCAACCTTTCAAAGGTTGAGGCAAAGGCAGACGTGCAGCCAAGTCAAACCCAGCATGCCCCGGAAAGGCAGGCTGTCACAGGTGGCCAGATTTGGAGGACAGAGGACGGTCACAGTCTCTGAGGGTCATGCATCCCTGACACCTGGCAGCCTCCATGCTTTCCATGGTCTTTAGCTGCCTCCCAACCATAGTCATCATCAAAATAGCCTAGGGAGAGCCTTGCTGCGGAGGCAAGAACCTCAGGGGCAGCCTCCCTCCTCCTAGCCGCTGTCCCTGTTCCATGCCTGTTCTTTTACTCCAGTCAGCTTCTAGAATGCCGCACTGCCCCGCCCCGTGTCTGTCTCCTCCCCTTTTTCCTTTTGGCTAAAAAACAAATAATACTCTTCAGCACAATCCATTCTGACCGTATTTGTGCAACGTATAACTAAAAGTTGTAGAGTAGAGCCAGGTATAGCCCTGCGTGCCTGGGGTGGGGGGGAGATCAGGAGTTCAAGGTCATCCATCCTTGGCTACAGATTGCGTTTGAATTTGAAGCTGTCCTGAGTTCCTTAACAGCCTGTGACTATCACATGAAAGCTGTAAAATAAAAAAATGAAATTCCTCTTCTTCCACTGAAGTTGCGTCTAGTGAAAATGAGTGTGTATGCTTACACGTGGATGGGCGTACCTGTGGGCATCCTTGTGTGTATGTGTGTGTGTGTGTGTGTGTTTGTGTGTACATGTGTACGTACATGTGCCATTGTTTGAGTGCGGAGAGCAAAGAACAACTTGTGAAATGGGTTCTCTCTCCTTCTACCTTGTGGGATTAGGGGCTTGAACTCGTGTCGTCAGGCTTGATGGTAGGTGCCTTTGCCTACTGAGCCATCTCCAAAAACTGTCAAACTGGCATCATTTGTATGCATTACTCAGCAACTAATTCTTCTCCATTTACCTAGTGCTTTCTCTGTCCACTTGTAGGTAAAACTTCACATAAATGTGTGTGAGCATATATTTGATTTCTCCTGGGTGCATGCAGAGCTGCTGAGTTATTTATTTATCTATCTATCTATCTATCTATCTATCTATCTATCTATCTATCTATCTATCTATCTATTGGTGGTGCTGAGGGTTGAATTCAGGGGCTCCCCTGTATTCCAGGCAAGTGCTCCGTGCTTAGCTGCATACCCAGAACAAGCTACTCGGTCATATGGTAACTGCACTTGAGAAACACAGCTGCCCGTGTTTCCCAAAGTGATGGCAGCAGTTCCCAGCCCCGCACTAGGGAATGAGAGTGTAGGGTTCTCCTCGTCCTGATCACTATGTGTGGTGCGTCTTTGTGATCACCGGTGGCTGGCGGGTAGTTT